GAGCCCGCGCGAAAGAAACGCCCTGGTTCACCGGGACGCCCTGCCCCCACAACCTGCGAGCCTCCTTTCTGCGGGTTCTCGTCTCCCCCACGGTTGGGCGAGGCTCCAGGAACGGACCAGGACGCCAACCCCCCCGCCGCCGCCTTCTCAAGCAGCGCTTGGCCGAAAAAGGCGCGCAAGCGGGTCCCGACCTACGTACGTGAAGTCAAGATTTCCTTCTGGGCCTCGCCGCGACCCAGGACCCCCCCCCTTTGTGCAGGAACCCCCTCGTCACACCCTCCACATTGGGGCGCCGCCGTTGGCAGGCGCGGGCTAAGCGGAGCAGATGCCGGCGAGGGCATCGCAGTCTTGCTTCTCCTCGTTATCCAGTTCCTGCTCCTCCCTCTCCCTCATCTTCCTCCTCATCCTCTCCCCTCCTCCCTCCTCCTCCTCCTCCTCCTCCTCCTCCTCCTCCTCCTCCTCCTCCTCCTCCTCTTCCTCTTCCTCCTCGCGGTATTACGCGAACCCCCTTAGCAGTGTAACCAGAATACGTTCCTCAAGTTTGTGTGCACTCATCATCTCCCCTCTTCCTCCTCCTCCTCCTTCTCCTCCTCCTGCCCCTTCTCCTGCTCGTCCCCGGTCTCATTATCGTCTTCCTCCTCCTCCTCCTCCTCCTCCTCCTCCTCACCCTTCCGCTCGTTTCTCATCCTATCCTTCCCTCTCCTGTCCTCTCCCCCTGCTTCTTGTTATGCTCCTTCTCCTCCTTCGTATCCTCCCTCTCCCCCTGTCTCATCCACATCCTCATGTGTGTCTCTTCTTCCTCCCCTTCACCCTCCTGATCTTCATCATCATCAGCAGCAGCATCATCCTCATCACCATCATCATCGTCATCAGCATCATCATCATCAGCATCATCATTGTCGTCATCATCATCGGCATCATCCTTCTATCTCGAGTATACTTCCTCTGGAGCCTGCCCGAGGTGGAGGACGTGGTCGACTGGGAGTCCATCAGCGGGCCGGCCATGAGGCCTGGCCAGCCCGGGCATTGTTCCGCAGGGGAGAGATGGATACGTAGATAGAGGAGCAGATGATCCCATCTTGCTTACCGATGAGTAAGTCCTACCTGTAGCGCCGCCAGGCGAATGGTTTGGGCGGGCTCAGCGTTTCGCCTAGGACATCCTCACCATTTACGGCCTTGAAGCTTGTAACATCTAGCAGCTACGCGATTGGAGGGCCAATCATATTAAAAACCGAGATCTCGCCAAGGCGCCGCGCATCCTTTTCGTCAGCATGTCCACCGTTCCTGCTCGGATGGAGGGCGGCCAGCGTTCAACGTGGGGTTGTCGCCTTGACGCCGCACCGCTCGTCTCCCACATGTCCAACGGCCACATGGATGATGGCGGCTCCTTCTCAAAAGAAGGTTCTCCCTCGAGGTTCCCCCACGGTGTACCACCACCGGTATAACATGTGCACAGGAACCACACACGCGTGGAGGGCTGCTTCAAACAAGAACTCTCGCCGGAGACTCCGATCGAACTTCTGGCCAGGCGCCCGCGTCGGTGCAGCAGCTGCGCGGAGGGAGCGCGGCCCCTGCTCGGAGCAGGGCTGCCGCTGGCACCCGCCGGATCGTCAGCGCCCCACACTTTGATCGCAGTCCTGATCGCTCGAAAGTCGGAGGACAGTTTCTTTCAAGGTTGAGCTCCCGCTCGAATCGCGTGCGTGCCCATGAGGCGCTCGTCTTTTCCAGGGGGAGGGAGGGGGGGATGCACATGGCGCTCCGCGCAGCGAGCAGAAAGAGTGTCTGCAAGGACTGCCTGAGAGGGGAGCATAGGACGGGAGGGCTCGTTGCGGCCTCGATGCAGCTTGGTCCGCCTGATCCTCGTCCAGCTCCCTTCTGCCCCTCCTCATCTCCCCGTACTCAACCTCATCCTCCTCCGCATCCCACTTCTCCTCCTCTTGGTCCTCCTCCTCCTCCTCCTTCCCACCTCCTCCTGCTCGTGATCGTCCTCATCCTCCGGATCTGGGGCTTCGGCGGCCTTCCCCGTCGCCACGGCTGGGCGTGGTGCGAAGAGGCGACTAGGATGGTGCCTGGGAAGGGCGCGGGGGGCGGAGAGAACGGGGGAGGAAAAGGAGGAGGGGGAGGATGAGAGAGGGTGGGGAGAACATTGAAAGGGAGCACGATGTGGAGGGGAGGAGGGGGAGGTGAGGCTTTCTCCTCCTCGTCGTCGTCGTCATTGTCGTCGATCTTGCGCCGCGTAGGCACGCCGTGCCGATGCTGCTGGAGCTGGAGAGCGAGCGGAAGTGCGACGCCTGGCTGTGGCGCCCGATGCACTACGCCGCCATCTACGGCGCCTCCGAGGCACCGGCGCATCCCGCGCCGACGGTCCCCCCCCGTCGGCGAGGCCGACGCCGAGGCCGACGCCGCCGACGCCACCGCAGCCGCCGACGACGACAACGCCACCGGTCGACGCCGACGACGCCGACGCCGAAGACGACGATCTCCTCGACGACGACGGCGACGAGAAAGACGGCCCGAGAGCGGCGACGGCGAGGACGAAACGGCCACGGTGCCATCCTCCCCGCCTTCCGCCCTCCGCTGTCATGCCTCCGAGGCCGTGCGGCGGGAGGGGAGCAGCCGTGGCAGCTGGAGTAAGACTGCGACGACGGAGCGGTGCGCCTCGGTCATTCCCCCTCCTGCCCCTTGATGCCCTGACGCGTTCACGGACGTCCCCCTTGTTCGCTTTGTTCCCTGTTGTTGCCCTGGTTCCCCTTGTTCCCCTTGTTGCCCTCATTGCCCTCATTCCCCCTGTTGCGAACATGCCCCTTGTTTTGAGTCGGGTGCTGCTCCGTCACGGTCATCGTCGTCCGTCTTCCTTTTTCGCGGGCAACGGGGGTGAGACGAGGGACATTGACAATGCTCCTGCTGCTACTCCTCCTCTTCCTCCTCTTACATCTCATCCTCATCCTTTTTCCTTTCCTCCTCCTTCTCCTCCTCCTCCTTCTCCCTCCTCCTCCTCCTCCTTCTACTCGGCATCCTTGTCCTCTTCGTCCTCCTCCTCCTCTTCCTCTTCCTTCCCCTCTCCCCACTCTTCACCACTGCCCACCTACTGTGGAACCCTCTTGGATGCACGCCAGCGAGCTGACGATGCCACATGTTCAAGCTCCTCTTTCAGCACCCAGCACCTCTGCACTCCTCTATCTCTCTCTCGCTCTTTCCCCCTCTCCCTCTTTCTCTTTCTCTCTGTCTCTCCCCCATCCCTCTCTCCATCCCCCTCTCTCTCACTATCTCTCTGTCTCCTCTCTCTCTCTCGCTTTCTCTCTCTCTCTCTCTCTCTTTCTCCCTCTTTTTCCCTCTCTCTCTGTCGCATGCATGCTTCTCCTCTACCCCCGAGCCAGAGTAACAGGTCGGGATCGCATCGGTTGTTTATGTATTGCTTCTTGCTCACTCACGGCTACCATCTAACGTGCCACACAAGGGGAAGATCGAAGGGCCGAAGCAGAGATGCCGCCACACCTTCCCGATCACGGCCGATTCGTGTCTCGTCGACGCGGAGGCGACCCCAGCTTGGGCGTCCAAGGTTGAGCGCCTGGGTTGCACGCCTCTGGTGGCCGGCGGCTGGCCGCAATCGGACGACGACCTGCGCTGCAGTGGGGGCCCATGCCAAGAAACACCTTGCTCGCCTCCAGGGCACCCTGGGTTTCTTGGGCTTCGATGTTTTTGTTTGTACGGGGACGTGATGCTCCCACGCCAGAAGTCAAAAGGGACGTCCTGGGGTCTCAGGGTTCGGCTTCTCGTGGACGGTGTCTTGTGGACCGGCCTCCACTGTATAGGAAGGCCGCGATCGTGCAATGCGAACCGACCCGCCCGGTGTCAGAGGCCGGCGCCGACGTCGTCACGACGCGAGTCTGCCGCCCTTCGGCGCGCGTCCCCTGGAGGGTGCACCGGGCGGGGGGAAGGAGAATCAACCAGGAGGACCACCCCTCATCAAAAGACGCCCGCCCGTTCGGATGCAGCTCCTGGGAGGTCAAAAAGCTGGCGTTTCCCTGGTCGGAAATTTCCCGACGGATCCGCCTTATTCGCTTCAATTCGGCTTCATCCAGCCCAATCCGGCCTAATCCCGCGTAGTCCGCGGTCTCATCCGGCGTAGCAGCCCCCCCAATGGGGCTTCATTTTCCTTCATCTTCCCGACGAAGCCTTCGCAATAATCAGTTGCCTCCTAATAATGCCCGAACGTCTGCCAGACGGCGGTCCGACCATATCCCCTCAGCCTCTCAAGCGTTGCGTACTGAGAGGGACGAGGAGGAGAGGAGGAGGAGGAGGAGGAGGAGGAGGAGGGAGGAGGGGGGAGGAGGGGAGGAGGAGGAGGAGAGGGAGGAGAGGAGGAGGAGCAGGAGGAGACGAGGAGGAGGAGGAGGACGAGGAGGGCGGAGGAGGAGGAGGAGGAGGAGGAGGAGGGAGGAGGAGGAGGAGGAGGAGGAGGAGGAGGGAGGAGGGAGGAGGAGGGAGGAGAGAGGAGGGAGGAGGAGGAGGAGGAGGAGGAGAGGAGGAGGGAGGAGGAGGAGAGGAGAGGAGGAGGAGGAGGAGGAGGAGGAGGAGGAGGAGGAGGAGGAGGAGGAGGAGGAGGAGGAGGAGGAGGAGGAGGAGGGGGAGGGGGAGGGGGAGGGGGGGTCGGTTGGTAAGCTGGGGGAGAGAAGGAAGATCCTTTTTTCGTACCTCTGCGGGGCCCGCGATGTGCGCGAGAGGTGTCTGTTTCTGAGCCCCCCGCCGACCGACCCCCCATTGAGCAAAACGCCACGGCAACGACGGAACCCCCCCAGAAGGGCCCACAGAAGCTAGAGGCCCAGGAGGAGGAGGTGGAGGAGGAGGAGGTGGAGGTGGAGGCCGAGGAGGAGGAGGCCGAGGAGAAGGCCGAGGAGGAGGTGGAGGAGGAGGCCGAGGTGGAGGTGGAGGAGGAGGAGGCCAGCGCGCGCACGGCGCCGGGCCGAGGAGGCACAACGCGCGCACGTCGCCGGGCGGTGGAGCCTGTGGCGCGGACCAGCGACGACGACGACGACGACGACGAAAACGACGACGACGACGACGACGACGACGACGACGACGTCAAGGACGACGACGACGACGACGACCGGCGGCGGCGGCGGTGGCGGAGACGACGACGACGGCGACGACGACGACGGCGACGACGACCATGGCGGCGGCGGCGGCGGCGGCCACTGGCAGGCCGGTTTCTGATGTGACGTGACTATTGTACCTTGATCGGGAGGGATGCGCCCTCCATAGGATCGCGCGAACCTTTTGCGCAGGCGCTGGACCCCCACATGGCGGCGGGGGGCCCATTGGCGGCGCCTTGCCGAAGATGGCGGCACCCGACGGCGGCGGCGGACACGGACGACAACGACAACGCCGAAAATGGCAACGACGCCGACGCCAGCGTTGCCCGACGGTTGCGGCGGACGGAGACGAGGACGACGACACGTCTGACACGACGACGACGACGATGACGACGACGACGACGCCGACGACAACGACGGTGGCTGCGGCGGCGGCGGTGACCTCAAAATCATCCCCTGACCCTCTCCAGGAGCGCTCCCTGACCGGGACGCGGAGGCGCGACGACGAGGGGGTCCCCCGTAGGCCCAGGAGTTGGACGACGATAGCGCCGACGAGGACGACGACGAGTATGACCACGGTAACGCCGACGGCGACGACGACGGCGACGACGCCGGCAACGAAGACAGCGCCGACAGCGGCCCTTCGAAATCGACCCGCAGACCCCTGCAGGAGTGCGTCGTGACCAGGATGCCGAGGCGGATCCAGCCGTGCCGACGCGTGGGGCCCCCGCAGGCCCAGAGGCAGAGGAGGAGGAGGAGGACGACGACAACGCTGATGGCGAAGACGTCGACGACAGCAAAGACCAGGACGACGACGAAGACGACGCCCGCGACGAGCGGCCGGGCGAGGCCGTGAAGGCGCTGTCGCGGGCGGGCGCCTCCGTGGACACGCGCACGGGCGGCCACGGGCTGCTCGGCAAGGCACCGCGGCTGGCGAGTCGCCGCCGCCATCGTCGGTGTCGTCGGCGTCGGCGTCCTCGTCCTCGTCAGCCGCCGCTCACGGGTGCGTCGTCGACCAAACTTGCCCATTGAGCCCGTTCCATTTGTCTCTGTGCACTTCAGCTTTGGCTTCCACTTCAGCGGCTGTGGGTGCACCGCGACACGCCTTCGGGCCAGCTCCGGCGAGTCGGCTTTCAGCTCCCATGGGTGCCTCCCTCCTTCCCTGGTCAGCCGCCGCTGGGACCGCCGCCGCCAACGTCGTCGTCGTCATCTTCGTCGTCGTCGTTGTCGTCGTCGCCGTCGTCGTCGTCGTCGTCTTCCTCGTCGTCGTCATTGTCGTCGTTGCAGTGGCCGCCGCCGCCACCGTCGTCAGCCACCGCCAGGACCGCCGCTGCCAACGTCGTCGTTGTCGTCGTCGTCGGTGTCATTGTCGTCATTGCCGTCATTGTCGTCGTCGTCGCCGCCTCCGCCGTCGCCGTCGTCGCTGTCGTCCGTGTCCGCTGCCGCCGTCTGGCGCCGCCATCTTCGGCAAGGCGCCGCCGCTGGGCCCCCCGCGATACGCGGGGGGTGTCCAGCGCCTGCACAAAAAGCTGCGCGTGGCCCTGCAGAGGGCGCATCCCCCCAGATCAGGGCACGGTAGGCACGCCGAGTCGGAACTCAGCCCGTTAGCAGGTGCCCCGCGGAGGCTTTCCTCGTCCCCGACGACCCTGGGCTCCCTCGGACGCCTTGGGGCACCTCAGGAAGCTGAGATATGCCCGGGCTCGGATTCGACGCGCATCGGCGTGGGATGCTCGACTCCAGGCGGTTCTCAGAAGGTAATTTCACATCTAGTCGGGCGTGCGCCTTCGTCCATCGGTGCGGAATCCTTCGTGCCTTGCCGCACGGGTATAGCCCCCTTGAGGGGAAGCGGATTTGCCCGTGGACGGGCTCTCTTTGGGGGAACAAATCTTCGACAGGCGTGCCCCTCGATCACTTGCAGCGGGATTTCTTATAGCAGATGTCTATTGTAGAGGGTTTCGATGCGGGGAAGCCACGCCCGTCGCGACTTCTTCACGACACTTGGATCTGAGGGTCCCTCCCTCTGGCAGGCTCTGGGGCCACATCTTGTTTACAATCAGGCCTCAGGCGGCCGCGCGGGAGTCTGGGCTCCCCCAAGAAGCTCTGGACGAGGAACCTCTCAGCAGCCCTCCAGAGAAGCTCCAGAAAAGCTGCAGGTCTTCAGGGGACAACGGACCCTGAGATCCGAGATGTGGACTGACGACCGTAGCTCCCGAACCCATCCTCGACGCCATCTCTCGAGCCAGGTCAGCCCCCTGCTGTCCCATGCAGGGCCCTCGGACGATTGAAAAAGAGCGCCCGTAAACACTCTGCAGTGTGACGCCCTTCCGGATCGACCTGGCCCAGGAACCTCCTCACGAGGGTGGGGTCGGTTGCGGTCGCCGGCTGTGGTGTCCAGCGGCGCTGCGAACGACGCTCCGACTCCTCGGCGGCGCGCCCGGAGGGGAAGGCAGAGGGGGCGAGCCTCCTTCGGAAGGCTCAGAAGGCCTCTAGCCTTCTGAGAAGCTTTTCGAGCCTCCCCTCCGAAGCCGCAGAGGGCGCCTCAGAAGGCAGGGGGGCTTCTGGGAAGCCCCCCTGCCTTCCGAGAGGGCCTAACCCCTCCTACGTACTAGGAGGAGGTGGAGGAGGAGGACGAGGAGGAGGACGAGGAGGAGGACGAGGAGAAGGACGAGGAGAAGGAGGAGGAGGAGGAGGAGGAGGAGGAGGAGGAGGAGGAGGAGGAGGAGGACGAGGAGGAGGACGAGGAGGAGGAGGAGGAGGAGGAGGAGGAGGAGGGAGGAGGAGGAGTCCCCCTTCCCCGGCCAGGCCGCCGACTTTCACCACATGAGATCTCGGGGAGAAGCGCCCTGGGTACCTTAGGATGCGTGCTCTGCCTGTGCTCTTCGGCCGCCCTCGGGCCCCAGGCTGGGCTCCAGCAGCCGCGCCGCGTCGGAGAGCCCCCCAGGGGTGACGCCGGAACCCTCTCGGACGGCCCGCCTCTGGCCCAGCGTGCTGCCCGAAGAGCTCGTCGAGTCCCGTGGCCTCCTTGCACAGTCAGGGCTGCCCGATTTTCTCAGCTTGGGCCGCTGGAGGTCCGTTTCGGGCCCCTGGGCCCACGAAGAGCACCGGTCAGGTGGGATCAACAGGTCTGAGGTCCCATGGACACGTGAGGCCGTTGGAGATCTGGAAACGCTCAGGAGGATCCCCTCACATAGAGTTGTCCGGTGCCAGGGAGGATCCTTTGACGTAGATTTGCTCGAGACCAGGGGATCGCTCGGGAGAGGGAGGGAGAGGAAGAGGAGGATGACGGGGAGGAGGAGAGCGGGGTAGGAGGAGGGGAGGACGCAGGGTGCGGCAGGAGGATGTGGACGAGGGCAACGAGTGTGGAGGAGCCTGAGGAGGAGGAGGAGGAGGAGGAGGAGAAAGAGAAGGAGGAGCTGGAGGAAGAGGAGGAGGAGGAGGAGAAGCAGGAGGAGGCGAAAGAGGCCCGCATCGGCTTGCGTCGGTAACAGAGCGTGCTTGACCGGCTGTGTTTATCGTGCTGCAGTTGTGGGGCAGACATCAACGTAGCGTTCGTTGGAGTCGTGCCGACGTTGTGAGTCTGGTGTGAGGCATCGTGGCGATGAAGCTGGCGCCATACTTCGATATACTTATACGACCACCCATCGGGTGATAAGGAGGTTGTGGGGGGGGGAGAGGAGGGGGAACCAACATCTGACTCAGTCGGTCTCACTATCGATCTCACCCAACGGGACACCACGGGACACCACGGGACACTTATCGATCTCACTATCGATCTCACGATCGATCCCATTCAACGGGACACCACGGGACACTACGGGACACCGCGGGACACCTCTCGATCTCACTATCGATCTCAATGAACGGGACACCATTGGACACCACTGGGTACCACGGGACACCTCGGGACGCCACATCGATCTCACTATCGATCTCACTCAACGGGACGCCACGACACACCACGGGGCACCTGTCGATCTCACTATCGATCTCGCTATCGTTTTGGGACACCACGGGACAACTCGGGGCACCACATCGATCTCAGTATCGATCCCACTATCGGTCTCACTCAACGGGACACCACGGAACACCGCGGGACACCGCGAGCCACCGCCAGACGGACGAACGCGGGCGGGCGGGGGAGAATCATGTGTCTTGACTTCGCCCTAGCAGCGGCAGACACCATGGGACACCGCGGGACACCGCTAGGGCCACCGCGAGCCACCGCCGGACGGACGGACGGGAGCGAAACATTGGTCTTGACTTCGCCCTAGCAACGGCGGACACCACGGGACACTGCGGGACACCGTTAGGACCACCGCCGGACGGACGGACGGACGGACGGACGGGGGAGCAACAATTGTCTTGACTTCGCCCTAGCAGCGGCGGGTTCAGTCCTCTCGCGCGCCCACGCAGCTTTGCCTCGCCCGCACGCACGACACGAGCGAAGCGAAACGATTTCCCGGTTGGGGGTCTCCGTTCAACTGCGATCTCACCCCCCAACCTCCGATGTAGATGTATGCATATACATCGGACAGTTCTATTACACCAGGTGTACGAGAAGCAGGCAGTTGCACAGGTGGATGCGCCTCATGATTCACAACATGCATGAACATGCAATCCGTTCCGTCCGCGCGCGCTGCGAGGGGAGTGCGCTGGCGCCTCATGTCGCTATAGTACCCCGTCCTCCTCCCGTGCGTCCGCGGAGCGCGGAGGCGCTGTCCAGGAACTCGTTCAACTTCAGCGCTGTGTTAGAGTGCCTGCGCCGCTAGGGAGAGGGAGAGGAAGAGGTGACAGAGAGAAAGAGGAGTTACGATGTTGAGGAGGAGAAGGAAGAGAAGGAGTTGAAAGGAGGAAGGGAGGGAGGATGAGGACGATGACGATGATGACGACGACGACGATGACGACGACGACGCAACGACGACAACGACGACGAGACCGACGACGACGACGACGCAACGATGACGACGACGACGACAACGCCGCCGCCGCTGACGACGACGAGGATGGTGATGATGATGATGGTGGTGATGATGATGATGATGATGATGATGGTGATGAGCATGATGATGATTGTGCTGGTGATGATGGTGGCGATGTTGAATGTGATGGTGATGGTGATGGTGATGGTGACATTGGTGGGCAAGGTTGAAAGCTGATGACGGTGAAGGTGATGATGATGATTGTGGGGGAAGTGGTGATAATGGTGATGACGATGAAGATAAAGATGATGGTGGTGATGATGATGAAGGTGATGAGCATGATGGTGACGATGACGATGATAATGTCGACGATATGACGACGACGATGATACTGACGATGGTGATGATGATGAGGATGATGATGGCGACGATGCTGATGATGATGATGGTGATGGTGATGGTGATGGTGATGACGACGACGATGATGATGATGATGATGATGGTGCTGGTGATGATGATGATGATGATGATGATGATGATGATGATGGTGATGCTGATGATGATGCTGATACTGATGATGGTGATGATTATGATGCTTATGATGATGAACATGATGGTGATGATAATGGGGAATGATTATGACGACGATGGTTATGACGACGATGGTGATGATGATAATGGTGATGATGATGATGATGATGATGATGATGATGATGGTGATGATGATGCTGATTATGCTGACGATGATGGTGATGGTGATGGTGATGATGATGACGACGGGGTGGTGGTGATGATGACGATGATCCGTCACGAACGATGAATGATGAATGGTGAATGATGAATATGAGGTCGATGGTGACAGGGACGAACAGGAGTAGGAGGAGGAGGATGAGGCAGCGGGGCCGACTCAGCTTGCGGACCAGAGGTCGTGCTGTAACTCACCCTGTGGAGGAGGGACCAAGATCGCCGGGGCATAACGAGCCTGGCCTCAGCAATCTCTGGGACGACGGACGCCTTGCCGCCGAGAGCCGAGAGAGCGGACTTACCCTTGCCGTCGTGAGCGCTCCGGACGAGGCGTGGGGCTGGGGCCTCTCCAAACTCGCCCTGCGCTGGAGGCGGCGCCACCATGCCCGCCCTTCTCGCGCTCCTCACTCACCGGGGACTCCGGCGCGAAGAACATCTCCAAGTCCTCGTCCAAGCATTGCAATACCGTGCCCCCGGTCGACGGCCTCGTCGATCAGGAGATCCCGCCCCGCGGCAGCAGCGCCAGCGCCCAAGCACACGTGTTTAGCCGAGCCAGGCGCTGCATGGGAAGCACCACCTCGGCGCCGACGGGGCCACTGGGGCCGCCCGCTTGGGCGTCAATGCCCTGGGAGCCGCTGCTGCTGCCTTCGCGCCTGCCGCTGCTGCTGCCTTCGTGCCTGACAGCCCCCGCCCTGCGCTCCAGCCGCTGCTGCGCCGTCGTCCTCTCCTCCCTGCTGCTCCGCGGAGTCGTCAGCGTGGGCGCCCGGCACGGCCAGCGAAGGCGCGTTCCGCTCGGCCGCGCGGCCGATGGCGCTTCCGAGGCGGGAGCGCCAGCCGCGCGCGCGCTCCCGCGCGGGGGTGGCACGCCGCTGGGCCGCTGGCAGCGTGCGCCGCCAGGATCGCGCCGTGGGCCGCCTCGGCAGCAGCGCGGGCACACGGGCGGACCCGCCATCGCTGCCCGTCCTCGGCCTCCACCCGCCACTGAGACGGGAGGCGGGCACGTCAGCGCGGGCACGCGGCCCGAGCATCGAGGGGCGCGGGCACGCGGCGGGGCCAGCATGAACGTCCTGGGCCAGCCTTCCGACTGGAGAGGAGGAGGATGAGGAGGAGGAGGAGGAGGAGGACCAGTGTAAACCCAAGAGTCATCAGCGCTTCATAGGCTCCCACATCGGTTCACTTCCATCGATGGAACTACCGCGTTGGAAGACACCCTTTTGAATACCCTGAAGCATGCCAAAACATTGTTCTCCGGATTCCAATGCCACGGATCAACTTGACTGTTGCGTCTTGACGATCCTGAATCACGCCAGAACACCGTTCCTAGGATTTCAACACCGAGAATCAATGTAACTACTGCACCCGCATAGCCCTGAACCCTTCCCAAACACGTTTTTGGTACGCTGATGACGGGAATCCGTGAAACTCTTGAAATTGTTGTAAGCGAATGTGCACCGCGCTCGGGCGAGAGCCACATTTTGAAAAGGAACCGCCCTCAACACGTGAAACTCTTGCAAATGTTGTTAAAAACCAATGTTCTCCGTGCTAAGGCGAGAGCCACATTTTGAAAACCACCCGCCCTCAATACGTGAAACGTGCGCGGCGCTAAGGGGAGAGCCACATGTTGAAAACCACTCGCCCTCAATCCGTGAAACGTTTGCAAGTATTCAAAACGAATGTGCGCGGCGCTAAGGCGAGGGACACAATGTGAAAACGACCCGCCCTCAATCCGCGAAGCAGTTGCACATGTTTGTAACGAATGTGCGCCGCGCTAAGGCGAGAGCCACATTCTGAATACGACCCGCCCTCTATCTGTGAAGCTGCTGCCAATGCTGAACCTTCAGAGTCATAAGTGGTGAGGACGTCTCAGGCGAAACGCCTGGCCCGCCCTAAAGATTGGCATCGGGGTGCGACAGGGAGAAGTTATTTGTAAGGAAAGGGAATGGAGGAGGAGGAGGAGGAGGAGGAGGAGGAGGACGAGGACGAGGACGAGGACGAGGAGGAGGAGGAGGAGGAGGAGGAGCTGGAAGGAGGGAGGTAGGGAGGGAAGAGGGCGGGGGCGGCAGGTGGGAGTGGCACTACGGGGGGAGGGGAACTCTTGCAAAAAAAAACGCCAAGATGAGCCCCAAGATGGAACACCGAGAGGGCACAGCGTGAGGGAGGCCCAAGACCCAAGAGGGCCTAGGGGGCTTTCCGTTGCTTTCGGTCTCGCCGCCAGGTCCACGCACAGGAAGCGGGTGTGTTCGGCGTCGCGTAGTGGGGGGGGGGAGGGCGCTAGATGGGGGGCAGCGAGGCCTGCCGAAACGGGGCCCTCTTCTGAGGCCCTTGAGGGGCCTCTACGGGCCAAGAGGGGGCCTGCAGGGTCCGAGAAAGCGCTCCTTTCTCTCCCCCCCCCTCATTCATCGCCCCCCCCCCCACAAATCGAAGAAGAAAGACGGCCATAAACATAAACGTTCGGCGCTCCGCGCGGATTCCTTGGATCGGGCAGCACTTCAGGCGCCGCCCCTTGCGCGCTCCGCGCGCCAGGGAGGGGGCCCTCCAGCGCAGATCCCAGCAGTCCGCGCGGAGCGCCAACAGTTTTGTTTGTTCTATGTGTATCGCGTTATAGATGTATATAAGTACATGCATACATATATTTACATTTATATACACACATATATATATATATATACACCTATATGTATATATATATAGATATAATCAACACAAAACACGGGGGGGGAGAAACAAAAAACGAGGCCCTCCACGGCCACGGCGCGGGGACCGAGCCAGGCCGCCGACCGACCTCGGCAAAGGGCAGGGCCGCGGTGCGGCCCTGCCCCGGGGCGGGCGCCCGCTGCCCAGGCTCAGGAGGAACGCCCGGCGCTCGTCGCGCGGCATGCCCCGGGGGCGGGCCCGCCCGCCCGCGTCGGGGCACAGGGTCGACCAGGCGTGCACACGTTGTTCCCTTCGGAGTCTTCGAAAGGTCTTTGATTTTTTTGGGGGGGGGCAAGAGCCTTTCATCTCCAATTCTTCTACCCTGGGCCTCTTCCTGGCCACAGGGGGGCCAGGAGCAACTCGAAGCGAGCACAATCAGAAAGGAGCAGGATTAGAAAAGAACGACACGTAAGAGTGACCTTTCGCCGGAGTGACCTTTGGTGCGGGCCCAATGGGGTCTTCCGATCGCCGAATGCGATGCGATAGTAGCGTCTTGCGCGCTCGGGTTTGTCCCCCCCCCCGCGGTCCCGCCAAAGCCGCGCACCAGCGGCCGCTCTTACCTGGGGCCACTCTTGCGTGCAGTCGATGAGAGACGGGGGTCACTGCAAACGAGGGTCAGCCAGGGCGCCCGATTCGAAGAAGAAAAGACGCCATAAGCCTAGACTTTCTGGCGCTCCGCGCGGAGCTCCAAAAAGTTTATGCTCATGGCGTTTCTTCTTCTTCTTCTGCCGATCTTGCAAAGCCACGGGTACACCGACCCGGATTGGGGCGCAGGATCCTGCAGGACCCTGCAGGATCTTGCGGGATCTGACAACGGCCCAACTGGCCCGGGTCTGGATTGACCCGGGTCAGTACATCCCCGAGCGTGCTGCCGGGGGCGGGCCCGCCTTCCCCGTGCGGGAGAGCATAACCCTGGCGACCGCGGCGAGCACCCGAGAGGACGGGCGGTGAGCAGCAGCCCCCTGCCAGAGGGACGTGGCGAGCAGACGACGACAGCGAGCGCGGAGGGCGATGGGGCGACCCTGCTGCTCGGGGCGCTGGTCGTGCCGGCGGGCGAGCTAGGCGCCATCCTCGGGGACGGGGCCCGGGAGGCCGCGCAGCTCCGCAAGCATACCTTGAGGTCCGTCCTGTCGCCGCTGCGGGCGGGGGCGCGCCATCTCTCACACGGCGGCGTCTTCGAATTCGGCGCTCCGTATGGTAACACGATGGCTGTATGCAGTCCGCCCACCCGATCTCACCTCGCACCTCCTCAGTGTTCGAGTGGGAGATCGATTAAATGATTGAGTCGCCCCAAATTGAGATCCCGTCGAATCCGTAACAAGTAAGTACGTGGAATCTTCGTAGATCTGCGAACAGTCTGCCTTCGTGTTGTAAACTCGACGAGGCAGCCTCGGTTCCAGGGTGAATCCATTCTGTAGTCGACCTCCTACTCGAGGTGTGGTCGGGCGCTCCTCGGCCTCCTGGCGGTGCTGGCACACTCTCGCCGTGCACGGCGGGGGGGGTCAGCCTCACTGGCCGGCGGCCGCCTCAGCGGAGCGGTGCCGAGGCAGCACCCCCAGACTTCCGACGTGGAGGGGAGCGGAAGGAGGGAGGAGGGAGGAGGAGGAGGAGGAGGAGGAGGAGGAGGGAGGACGGACGGAGAAGGGAGGAGGGAGGAGGGAGGAGGAGGGAGGAGGGCGGAGGGAGGAGGGAGGAGGGAGGAGGAGGGAGGAGGGAGTTGGGATGAGGGAGGATGGAGGAAGAGGAAGAGAAAGATGATGATGATGATGATGATGATGATGATGATGATGATGATGATGATGATGATGATGATGATGATGATGATGATGATGATGATGATGATGATGATGATGATGATGATGATGATGATGATGATGATGATGATGATGATGCTGATGATGCTGATGCTGATGCTGATGCTGATGCTGATGCTGATGCTGATGCTGATGCTGATGCTTTTGCTGATGATGATGATGATGATGGTGGTGATGGTGATGATGATGATGATGATGATGGCGATGATGGTGATGCTGATGATGATGATGATGATGATGGCGATGATGATGATGATGATGATGATGATGATGATGATGATGATGATGATGATGATGATGATGATGATGATGATGATGATGATGATGATGATGATGATGATGATGATGATGATGCTGAGGAGGAGGAGGGAGGAGGAGGAGGAGGAGGAGGGCGGAGGGAGGAGGGAGGAGCAGGTAGGAGGGAGGATGCTCTCAATTGCGGACACCATGGAGGTTGCTCCAGGGTTGGCCAGATCAGTTGTCAGAGCTTACCCTCCTCACCCGTCTGCAGTGCCACAAGGTGTGCAAGGCGAAGATGTTCGTCGCTGATGGAAGTCGGGCGTGGGGGAGTGGGGGGTGGTCTCGTGTCTGAAGTGTGGACATGCCTGGTCAGGCGCAGCCTCTTTGCTTCTTTGTGCTCAGGCCGTCCGCCCACCGAGGACCTCAGACAGCAGAGGTCGAGGTTTGCCAAAGGGGAGCTTCCCGGGTGGGCCCGGTAGGTACCGAGGGCGGACGGTCACGTGCCATCGTTCCCCTTCCCACTCGGACCAGGTTGCCCTCGTTCGTTCGTCGCACAACCGTGTCCAGATCACGGGAGGAGAGGAGCCAGACGAGCTCCCTGAATTTGTTGATGGCCTCCTACAAGAGGAGGCAGCTCCTTGCCAGGCTTGGCCTGGCCTTGTCTGCTCAGGCCAAGGCCTAAGGGGCCCACTGGGCCTGCGTCTTTCTGGTGTTCGTGGCAGGCGGCACTGACGCCTGCCTCCGCAGCGAACTGAATTGAGCCAAAGGAGCAGGGGCGGGGGAGCTCCGTCTGTTTGGAGTCCCAGCGCAGGGGGGGGCCATGGGCCATGGACCACTACTTGCCAAACCACCCCAGCACAAGCCGAAGGTCCCATGCCCCCCCAAACTTCGGGTTGGGGGCGTGCGGGTTCCATGTCGTGCTCTCCCGCTGTTCCAGAGTGCCCCCCCGCTGGAGCTTGGCAGGCCCAACGGCAACTTCGGGTTGGGCTGCCAGTGGGGGGCCCAAGGCCCCCACCACGTCGCAGCGGAGGGCGGGGCCTTCGGGGCGACGAGGGGCACTTGGCCAGACACCCGCCGCGCCGCACCTGTCGGCACGCTGCGGGCCCCACGGGGCTTCTCGACGCCCTCCGCGGAGCCGGCCCTGTGACGCGGGCCGTCCTGGTGGCCCCTTGGCCCCCTGGCCCGGGGACCGCTACTGGCAGGGCCTCCTCTGAGATGCCTTGGCAGGTGGCCAGGCTGGGTCGCCACGGCAGCCGTGCGCTGCCCTCCCCCACTTTGGGGGGGTCGCGACTCAACGAGAAACGCCCCCGGATCCCCGAAGAATGCGACACCCCAAACCCGGCAACTTACGCTTCGGCGGCGCTCCCAGGGGGACGGCAGGGGGGGCTGGCCGTCTCGGCAGGCTCCGAGGGCCAGGAAAGGAAGCTCTCGGAGCCTTCTCCGAAGCTCCGGGGGCCCCTCTCGCCGTCCCCGTCGGCGCGCCGCCGGAGGATGCCCGCCGTGGCGTTTCTGGCTGCGCCCTCGGGATCCCAAACTCTGACCCCTCGCCGCCACAATCCCGATCCAGAGACCTCGATGTGCGGACCCTGCCGAAGCAGCAATCAAAGACGAACAAACGCCATAGACAGGAACTTTCGGCGCTCCGCGCGGATTTCTCGGATCCGCGCTGGGCCCCCTTGGCGGCGCTGGAGGCGCCGCTGCAGATCCAAGAAATCCGGGCGGAGCGCCAAAAGTTTATGTTTATGCCGTTTTGCCTTCTTCTAAGTAAGGGCCCGATAGGGGCGAGGAGCAAAAAGCATCCGCCTCTTGGTCTTCGCCCGATCGTTCCTGGGCGTCTGACCTTTTCCCAGACCCCCTCGGGCAATGGAAAAATGGAAATATCGCAACGGGAGGCTTTTTCCTACTTTCGGCCTCCAGGGGCCCTTGCCAGGCCTCGGAGCCGTCAAAACGCGCGTCAGGATGAAAAACTGGTCCCCTGGAATGGGTGCATATCTCTGGAGGTTGATGTCATGACAAAATCGTGATGTCGGGGGTCTGGGTTCGGTACACGTGCCCCAGAACTGACTCGACCCCCTCCGAAGGGGACCAGATTTTCGTCCTGGCTCAGCAGCGGTGGGGGAGGGCCAGGAGGGGGGCGATGACTAGGATGCCCCCTTCTTGATCTTCATGTTCTTTGTTCAAAACGTCTCGTGGTCCCCCTTCGTCCGCGCACATGCCTCCGGCCATGATTTGCGACCCCCCCTCTTGGACGCCCGGCCTCGTGGACACCCCCGAAGCGGCCCCTGGAGGCCGAAATTGGGAGGAAACGCCAGGAATGAGACAAACTGGTCTTTCTCCTCCTCGGGCTCCTCGGCCCTGGCTGGCTCCGATGGGGAAGAGCAGCTGGGGCGGAGGAGGAGAAGGAGAAGGAAGCAAGGGAGGAGGAGGAGGAGAAGGAGGAGGAGGAAGAAGAAGAGGATGAGGAGCAGGAGGTGAGGAGGACGAGGAGGAGGAGCAGGGAGGATGGAGGAGAAGGAAGAAGACAAGCAGGGAGGAAGGAAGTGAAGTGGAAGGAGAGGAGGAAAAATAAGAAGAAGAAGTAGGAGGAGGAGGAGGAAGGAGGAGAGGGAGGAGGAGGAAGAGGAGGAGGGGAGCGGTGACCGAGGTCCCCCCGCCCGCGCCCGCTCCCCGGTCCGCCAGGTGCTCGCTGAGCGGGCCCAAGGAGACGGTCAGGGCAGTGGAGGTGAACGGCGACTGCCTCACAGTGACGCAGCCGCATTCTGGCGTCAGAAAGGACCCCCTTTCCGTCCTCCTCCTCCTCCTCCTCCTCCTCCTCCTCCTCCCTCCTTTCGGTCCTCCTCCTCCTCCTTCTCCTCAACAGCGTTTGATTGGAACCCTCGCCAGAGTACCAAACAGCAGAGGTGAATGGGCTACGGCGGACTACACAATCGGCGGCGATAGGCCATGAGGAAATCATTGCAGTACGCTGCTGGCGCCCACGCGGGGGCCATTAGACACAACAGGGTATCAGTGGCAGCACACGGCCACGACAATACCAGAACTATGGCTGTAAAGACACCGCATGTGTGCACGCAGCACGACAACCACAGCAGTCTTCGCGTACCTCCGACGTCTGCAGCGACTGGGAAGCTACAGGCTCGCGCGCCGCGACACTGATCTCCTGACCGAAGAGGATGTCGAGGCTGACCAAGGAGGTGGCCACCGCGATCCTTGAGGAGCTCACCATCTTGGTCAAGTACGAGCGTTTCGATCGGCGCCCTCCCAAAAGCGCCTGGGCTCCAGGCACACGTTCACATGAGTGCATCAGGAGGGATCGGACGACAAGACCGCCAGGATCATCCAATGCCACATGGCGCTGAGGGGCTCCCGCGACATGGACGCCGGAGCCCTGGAGACGTTCGCCGGCGCGGTGAAGCGGGCATCTCAGCGCGTTCTGTCCTAAGAGGCGGCTTGTCGCCGGGAGTGGGGGCACGTCGCCGTGAACGTCGAGAAAGCTTTCCTGTAGGCCATTAGTGCCTATGCCGAGATGCAGGAGAAGGACGAAGCGCCAAGCGAAGTGAACTTCACCATGCCGCCCGGCAACGTGGCCATCCTCAGGCGAGTCCCAAACTACGAGCCCTTCGGCGAGCGAACCGAGCGCCTAAACTGCATCGAGCTGGGCACGTGCTGCAAGGATGCGCCAAGAGTTCTTGTTCTATGAAGCTGGCCAGGGTCACGCGCCCACCCGAGTTCAGCAGCAAGTCGACGCGGCGGGACCCAGAGCTCGAAGCACGAGGCGTCCGACACTTGTGATACCAGCGTCTCAGAGCTAGTGATCATGCTGTCCAAGTGCGTCGACGGCTTGCAGATCGATGGACGCAACGAGCACGTAGACCGGCCGTTCGGCCACATCGAGAGCGTCTGTTGCAAAATGGCAGATTGAAGGGTGACTACGACGACTTCACCAAATGCGGTGCCCATCAACACCGCAGTGCCAATGGAACAGCGACGCTCGACCAGGACGAACACATCGACGCGTTTATCCCCATCGGGCACGTCGACCTGGTCAAGGCGAAGGCGGCCGAGCTGGCTGGAGGTCCAATTCCAGGCCTTTTTGCCTCTTTCTCTCTCTCTCTCTCTCTCTCTCTCTTCGGAGCGGCCGCCTACGCGTTGCTCACGCAGCACCACGTTGCAGCGTGCGTGGTCGCTCTGCAGATGGCCAAGAAGAAGCTGCTGATCAGGCACATTATGTAGCTGAGCTCCGTAGCGCTGGCCATGCAGAAGATCATGGCGCGCATCGCGTCGTTTTAGCAATGGAATGCGGTGGCCGACTCTGCGCGCAAAGCGACGGCTTCTTCAAGGACAAGGAGGTAACATAATACAGGATGAGAGGCGCCGTATCCATGCGCCGAGGCAAACGCCGCAGGATGGGGAAGGAGGCCTGCCACCTGCTCGACGCCGTGAGCCGATCACGCAAACTTGCGCGTAGATCCTCATTCTGCTTAGAGCTGCTCGCCGCCTGTTGAGCAGCCGACGGACTTCAGGCCCACCTCCTGTCGCTCGGCGAGATGGTGCATGGACCTGTTTCAGCCGATGGGATCAGGAGGCTGACGGACCAAGGAGGCTATGCCGTGCTGGCCCAGCTTGTGGTCGACGGTCTGTCCCGATGTTCCGCCCTGGCTGGGCACCTCTGGTGATCGCCCCCAGCTCACAGCACAGTCACCTGAAACAGGAGATCGACGACACCCCGGGCCACCTGTCATTGCACATCCCGAACTGTGTGCGCGAATGCAGCTTCAGAGTCGCATATCGCGAACTGTGCGCGCGAATGCAATGCAACCATCAGCCGTAAATTGCAAGTACTTCGGCTGCAAAACAGGTCGGCACAGTGAGCGAGAGAAGTGCAGAAGCTCGCTTGTCGTGAACTGTGTTCGCGAGTACGATGCAATCAACATACCACTGAAGGGGCTTTGTTCTCGAATTGTGTCGGAAAGTCATCAGGTGACTTGTCAGTCTGTTTGCGCTGGCAAAGCAACTTTCTATAAGGAGCCTGGTCAGCATAAGGCCCCCATCATTGTAACCTTAAAACGCAACCTGGTCAGCAGAAGGTGCCCAGGCAGCGTAATTTCACATGAGGGGAGTGGTTAGTAGAACTCCCGTGGGCTGTCTGTCGCCGCAACTGTGTACGGCTTGTCCGTTGTGGCCTGTTGGTGGTCTGGACGGCTTGCGTCTGGGCTACCAGCGCGACACGACGGAATCGCCTGAGCACCAGACTCGAACGGTATACAGCCACTGCATGTAGCAAAGCAGGGAAAGCGGGACGCGAGGGTGGTCCCATAGTGATCTTTACATCGCTATACACTGCTTTACACATCACGAAACATAGAATCAGTTGTTTACCCGCCGCTCTTCATTTGTAGATCTTGCCCATCTTCTCAATTCGACGAGGACGGCGACGATCGAGAGCCAAAGGCCGAACGCCACGACGATGGCCTCCAGGGGCTTGTAGGAGGCTCTTGAAACGCCCGAGAGCCCTCGAACAACCATGCAAGCTTCCGAACAGCGCGGAATAGATTCGACCATCTTCGAGCATAGTCAAACATCGACGACGACGACGAAGACGACGACAACGACGGCCACAATGGCAACGACGCCGACGCCGACGCCGACGCTGGCGCCGACGCCGACGCTGACGACGACGACGACGACGACGACGACGACGACGACGACGACGACGACGACGACGACGACGACGACGACGACATCAACGCCGACGCAGGCGCCGACGTTCGCGCCGACCCAAACGGCGACGCCGACGCAGTCGCCGGCGCCGACGCCGCCGCCGCCGACGACGACGACGACGTCGCCGACGCCGACGCCGATGCTGACGCTGACGCCAACGCCGACGCCGACGCCGCCGACGCCGACGCCGACGCCGCCGCTTTCGCCGCCGCCGATGACGACGACGACGACGCCCTGACAGACGGTGGACCTCGAGAGCTGCACCTGCGTGGGCTACAGCACCGGGCAGCAGCCGAACCACGCGCGGCGGTTCGGCTTTGCGACCCCGCTGCACATCGCGATCGAGTTCCAGGAGCGGAGGGGGATGAGGGGGGAGAAGAGGAGGGAGGAGGAAGATAAGGGAGGCGGAGCAAGAGGAGGAGTTGGAGGAGGAGGAGGAGGAGGAGGACCAGGAGGAAAGAGCAGGAGGGAGGAGGAGGAGAAGGAGGAGGAGAAGGAGGAGGAGGAGGAGCAGCAGCAGCAGCTGCAGCAGCAGCAGGAGGAGGAGGAGGAGGAGGAGGGAGGAACATCGAGCAAGGAGGGTTCTTGGCTCCTAGAGAGCCCTCGTCACCTTGGCTGGGTCAGGCTGGATTCCTCCAAAATCTGGGTCAGAACGCACTGGGGGCGATCTTTAAGGGGAAGGGACTCGGGCGAGTGGACGAATGGGGAGAAGTATCTATATGTTTGCGATGTTGCTCGTTTTGGGGCCTCCTGAGGCTTATGGGGACCTCCAGGGACGTCCACCCACATCCAGGGATGTCCCGGGACCTCGGGGAACTTTCTTACTTTCGGCCAGAGGCTGAGTAACGAGTTTCAGGGTCCTGGAACTCGTTCCCCAGCCTCCGGCCGAAAGTCCGAAAGACCTCCTCCTTCCTCGTTCATCGCACCGAAGTTCCAAAGTAACCCACATCTCCTGGGCGGGTTACGGTGGAACTTCAGGGGGGGGGGGGGCAGCTGTCCTAAAAGTTGTTGTCTGCTCCTGTATTCGACGCGGATTCGATGCAGATTCGACGTGGACTTGTGAATTCGACGTGGCTTCGCCGCCAAACGGGACAGGACAGACACGGTCTTGCGAATACGCAATGTATAAGAGGGGTGGAGGCAAGGAAAGTAGGAGGGAGCAGGATCGAGAAAGCAGGATCATGATGTTTTTGCCCCCTTTAGGGCTTCCAGGATGCTTCTCTTCGCCACAGCTGGATTCCCCTTTGATTTTTTAGGCGATAGGAGGATGAGGAGGAAAGAGGAACATCGAGAAACAATTCGCGCTGCAGGTTTCAACTAGTGTTCGGCCTCCAGGAGCCCGTTTCGGGCCCTAGGTCCGTCAGAGATTCACTCGGGGGTGTAGTGGATCCCAGAACGGTTCTGGGGATCCGTTCTGGGCGGGCTTCGGGGTCCATCGGCAGAGGAGGAGGAGGAGGAGGAGGAGGACGAAGACGAGGACGAGGACGAGAACGAGGAGGAGGAGGTGAGAGGAGGAGGAGGAGGAGGAGAAGGAGGAGGAGGAGGAGGAGGTGGGAGGAGGAGGAGGACGAGGATGAGGAGGAGTAGGAGGAGGAGGACGAGGAGGAGGCGGAGGAGGAGGAGGAAGGAGAGGGAGCAGGAGGCAGCAGGAGGACGGAATGGAGTGTGGAGGATCGAAGTTTTGGACGCCTTGGCAGTCTTGATGTGCAGAGCCCCAGCGTCCTGCCGGAGTCCCGCCGCATCCTTGTGCCGCTCGGGGCGTCGCGAGGCCGCCGTCGGACCCCGGGGCCGTCGCCAAGCAGGGAGCGGGGCGGCCCCGGGGAAGGGCCGCGAGCTCCGAGGTGCCGGCGACCCGGGGAACGAACGGAACATCGTTCCGAGGAGCTGTGCTTCGAGGGGGGCCCAGCTGCCCTCTCCAAGCCCCCCCCCCCACCCTTCTCCGTTCCCGCCTCCTCTTCTCCACGGCTAGCACCATATGAGAACACTACTCTCCTCTCCTTGCCACCGGCTCTGTGCATTTCCACACAGGGTTTCAGAGGCTCAGACACGTGTTATGTGGCGTTCTCGGTCCTTCCAAGATGGTGCTCCCGCTGCAGCGTGGCCTCGGTTTCGGATTGCGACTTTGCTCCCGTTGTTCAGAAAAGCATTCTCGCCCAGCGCGGCCACCTACTTTTCTGGATCCGAGTCCTTCTTCATCGTTGTCACACTCCTCCGTTCCCGCCCCCGCCTTCCCTTGCCCCTGCTCCTCCCGTTCCTTCCACTCCAGTTCCCGCTGCTCTTGCTCGTCCTCGTAACTCTTTTTTCTCATCCTCCTCCGTTTCCTTCTGCTCATCCGCCACCTCCTCCTCGTCCTCGTCCTCCTCCTCCTCCTCGTCCTCCTCCTCCTCCTCCTCCTCCTCCTCCTCCTCCTCCCCCTCCTATGTACGTAGCTCCCCATGTTTTCCGATTGCGCATTCGGCGATGAGATCTCTCAGGAGATCTGGGTCCCCTAAGACTCGCGTCCGCGGATACAGAACGACATCGGCGCAAGGAGAAGAGATGGGCGGGAGGTGCGGGATGTCAGGTGCAGCACGAGCGCACCTAGCTTGCCGTTCTCCCCATGTCCCCTGTTCTCTTCCTTCCCGGAGGGGAGAGGAAGGAAGAGGGTGATAGAGAGAGGAGGAATGACAAGGAGGAAGGGGAGCGAGGAGAAGGAAGCGGAGCAGGGAGGAGAAAGAATTCGGAGGAGGTGGAGGCGGAGGAGGAGGAGGAGGAGGAGGAGGACGCAGAGGCGGCAGGCAGGAGGCAGAGGCCCAGGAGCAATGAGAAGAGAGATGAGAAGGAGAAATGAGGACAGTGGAGAGGAAGGGGATCAGCAGGAGCAGGAGAAGTGGGGACCAGGAGGATCAGGCGGAGAAGGAGGAGGAGGAAGCAGGAGGAGGAGGAGGAGGAGGAGGGAGGAGGAGGAGGAGGAGGAGGGAGGAAGAGGAGGAGGAGCAGGAAGAAGATGAAATGGATGATGCGTTCCTCCTCCTCCTCCTCCTCCTCCTCCTCCTCCTCCTCCTCCTCCTCCTCTTGTGCTCCTCCTCCCCCACCTCTTCCTCCTCATCCTTCCACAGCGCGGCCAGGAGATGTGCACCCGATAGCGGGCGGAAATGTCGCCCTCGCCTTTCTGGCGCCGCGCAGATTCAGCCAGAGAGTGGCGCTCCAGCTTCGGCGCGACCCATGTGTATATATATATATATATACACAAGACTGCAGTGGCGCTTCGCGCCATGCACCTTGGTCCTTGAAGTTTGGTATGCAGGCGGAATAGCATGAAGGTCAAGCCGGCAATTTAGCGATAACTCTTTGTTGCCTTTGCGGGCATCGCCGCTATAATCGGAGGTGAGGGGGTGAGCTCGAAGTGGAACGGAGAGCCCCCCTACCAGGAAATCGGTTTCGGTTTCTTGTTCGTGCGTGCCTTGCGTGCGGGCGAGGCGAAGCTTCGTGGGCGGGCGAGAAGAAAGTCTCCTCCGGCTGAGGCGCGGCCGGACCAAACGATTCCTTTCCGGGGGCCGGTGGCCCGCGGTGTCCCGCCGGTGTCCCGCCGGTGTCCCGTCGGTGTCCCGTCGGTGTCCCGATGATGATGATGATGATGATGATGATGATGATGATGATGATGATGATGATGATGATCATGATGATGATGATGATGATGGTGATGATGATGATGATGTTGATGATGATGTCGATGATGTTGATGATGATGATGGTGATGATGGTGATGGTGGTAATGAAGATGGTGTCCCGATGATGATGATGATGATGATGATGATGATGATCATGATGATGATGACGATGTTGACGATGTTGATGATGATGATGGTGGTGATGATGATGGTGTCCCGATGATGATGCTGTTGATGATGATGATGTTGCTGATGATGCTGATGATGATGGTGTCCCGATGATGATGATGTTGATGTTCCTGATGATGATGAGATGATGATGAAGATGATGATGGTGTCCCGATGATGGTGATGAGGTTGATGATGATGCTGTTGATTATGATGGTGATGATGATGGTGTCCCGATGACGGTGTTGATGATGATGACGATGGTGGTGTCCCGATGATGATGATTATGCTGATGATGAGGATGAAGATGATCTGATGATGATGATTTTGATGATGGTGGCCAGATGCTGGTGATGATGATGATGCTGATGTTGATGATGCTGATGGTGTCCCGATGATGATGATAGAGACGATGATGATGGTGTCCCGATGATGATGATGTTGTTCATGATGTTGCTGATGATGATGATGGTGTCCTGATGATGCTGATGATGTTGGTGATGCTGTTCATGATGATGAGGTGATGATGATGGTGGTGTTCCGATGATGATGGTGTCCCGCTGATGATGATGATGTTGATGATGATTGTGATGATGGTGACGATGATGGTGTCCCGATGATGATGTTGGTGATGATGATGATGATGGTGATGAGGTGATGATGACGGTGATGATGGTGTTCCGATGCCGATGATGATGATGCTGATGATGATGATGATGATTGTGGCATCGATAGTCAGATCGATTGTGAGATCGATCGGGTGAAATAGATCGAGTGAGATCGATTGTGAGATCGATCGGGTGAGATCAATCGAGCGAGACCGATAGTGAGATCGATAGTGAGATCGATAGTGAGACCGATCGAGTGAGACGTTGGTTCCTCCCCCCCGAACCTCCTTATCACCCGAAGGGTGGTCGTATAGGTAATGTTCTTCGTTATCCTTCCTCCATGCTTCTTTTTCTTCATTTTCGCCATACCCTGCGCATTCTCCCCATCCTCCTCAGCTCTTTTTTGCGGAGGCTCCCCCTTGGAAAGCATCTGGGGGCCTCAGAACAGTTGTTTTAGGCTGTCTTAAGGCCTTCTGGAGGCCTCCTGGGCGTATTCTGGGGGCCTCTGGGGGCTTCCTCGGGCCACCCTGCCTCCAACCGCGGCACCCCTGAACGACAGGGTCACGATTTGGAATGCTTCGGAGGGTGTCTTGGGGCCATCTTGGGCCGCCATGGGGCTCTCTGAGGGCCACCTTGGACCCGTGTTGTGCCGTTTTGGAGCTCTCTTGGACTGCCTGGAAGCCCTTTCTGATGGTTGTGGGGCGATTTTGGAGCCTCCCAGGCGGCTTCGGACGCCCAAAAGACCGCCGTCTTGGAGCGTCGGGAAGCCGAAAAGAGGAGAACCCCAAAATTCACCAAAAACCATCAGATAATCACTGATTTTTGCCTCTTGGGGCCTTCTAGGGGGTGCTCTTGGAGGCCTCTTCTCTGGGGCCGTCCTGGAGGCCTCTTGGGTCATCTTGCGTCGGTCACTCTTGTAGCGCTCTTGTGCTGTCTTGGGGCGTCTCTGGGACGTCTCCGATGACCTCCCTGATCGCCCTAGGTGTGCTGGGAAGGCTTGGCAAAACGCCCTGCAAGGCCCCGGGGGCCGCTTGGAGGCATGTCCGAAGGGTCCCAAAGCCCCAGATTCCGGGAGTCCGATTTTTTTTTGGGGGGGGTCTCCCCGCCCATCTTGTAAAAATATAGGAAGAGGAGTACACATGCCACTAGCACAGGTGTGGTGCCTCACGCGAGCGGGCGATTTCTCGCTCACGTCCAAGCTCCATGCGCATTTCGCTTGGAAGCGGCGATCCCGCGTGGGCGCGGCACATCTTTCGCTCACCGAATCGAATTAAGTCGAGAGCAGCAGCGGGGCCGCACATTTTGTACGTGGAAGTGGCAGTGCTGCTTCGTTGCGGCGCATGTTTCTTCGTCGCCGTTCTCGTTGGACACTTGGCCGCACGAGAAGTGGCCGAGAAAGGGCTAAGTTGTGCCCCCGCCGCAGGTCCGCACAAGCTTTTTTGAAGCTCCGCTCCAGCCTCTGCGCGGCCCGCGTAAATGTCTCTTCGCCAAGTCGTCAGAAGAGGAGGCCGCCTTCCGTTCGCTATGTGGCGGCACTTTCCGATCCCAAGTTCAACTTCTGGCACGCGTGATTCCTCCGCAGTGGGAGGGAAAGTGGGAATGGGAGAAGCCCGCTGACTCGTTCGATCTGGGTATCTTTTTACAAGCACATACGCACCACCACACACAGACACGCGCAGACACACAGACACACACACACACACACACACACAACACACACACAACACACACACACATACACACATACGCACACACACACACGCGCGCGCACGGGTTTCAACAACTTTTCGAGAGGGGAGGAGAAGTAAGTGAAGCCGAGGGAGAGGAGGAGAACCAGGAGAAGGAGTAGGAAGATGAGAGAGGAGGACGGCGAGGAGGAGGATGACGACGAGAAGGACGAGGAGAACGACGAGATGGAGGAGGAGGAGGAGGAGGAGGAGGAGGAGGAGGAGGAGAGGGAGGAGGAGAGGGAGGAGGGGCAGGAGGATTAATCAAGAAGCAGGAGCGAGAGGAGCCAGAGCAAACGGAGGAGGCCTGCGCGCCCCCCCCCAGCACGTCGACACCATCGTGGCCCTGCTCGCCGCCAAGGCTAACCCCAACAACGCCTGGAACGAGAACCGGGACCCGCCCCCGCGCCGGGCCCCTCCGCGGCTCTGGGGAGGAGGAGGGCCTGAGGAGAGGAGGAGGAGGAGGAGGAGGAGGAGGAGGAGGAGGAGGAGGAGGAGGAGGAGGAGGAGGGCGCGAGGAGAGCAGGAGGAGGAGGAGGAGGAGGAGGAGGAGGGCGCGAGGAGAGCAGGAGGAGGAGGAGGAGGAAGAGGAGATGGAAGATGAGGTGGACGAGGGGGAGCAGGAGGATGGGAAGGGGGCGCAGGAGGAGGAGGAGGAGGTGGTGGAGGAGGAACAGAGACGAGAGGAAGAGGAGGAGGAGGAGGTGGAGGATGAGGGGGGCTCGGCGGTGGTAAGTGTTAGTTTCGCCTTCAGATAGGGACCCCTAGAAGTCCACGGAGCTTCCAAAACCGTCCAGCATCAATCATCGGTGGTCGAGGGGACAACGGAATCAGCAGGGGAAGACCACAATGTGGGGGGAAGAGAATGAGGTGGAGGAGGAGGAGGAGAAGAAGAAGAAGAAGGAGCATACGGAAGAGCAGAACAAGTAGGATTGATGGGAAGAGCAGGAGCAGCAGGAGCAGGAGAAGGAGCAGGGGAGGAAGCCCGTAATCTTGAAGCCGCTGGACCCACGATCCTCGATCTTCTGACCTATATCCTCCCCCCATACACGCAGGAGGGAGCGGAGCAGAAGGGGAGCGAAGAGAAAGGGGGAGGAGGGAGGAAATGTGGGAGGAGGACAAGGGAGGAGGAGGAGGAGGAGGAGGAGGAGGAGGAGGAGGAGGAGGAGGAGGAGAAGGAGGGAGGAGACAAGGAGGAGGAGGCGGAGGCGGAGGAGGAGGAGGAGGAGGAGGAGGAGGAGGAGGAGGAGGGGGAGGAGGGGGGAAGGATGAGCAGGAGGAGCAAGAGGAGCAGGAGACGGAGCCCTTGGAGAACAGCAATGCCGTCAAGGAAATCAGAAAATCAAGCGGAGCCCTCCTCGATCCTGGATTCTCAATCTGCGATCCTTCTTCAAAATCCTCCCCGCCCCTCCTCCTCGATCCTCCTCCCGCCCGCCGCCTCGGGCTCACCACGAGGACAAGCCCCTGCACACTGCCGTGGCGCAGGGCAACGACCAGGCTGGGCCCTTGCAAAAGTGCGCGCGCCCGCCTGTCCCCCTCCCCCCCCCCCGCCTCCTATTCCCTGGACCAGGAGGACAAAAGAGCAGCAAGAAGGAGGAGGAGGAAGAGGGGGAGGAGCAGGGGGAGGACCAGTGCAAACCCAAGACTCATCTCCCACAAAGTTCCATCTTCATAGGACCTACAAGGGTTCATTTCCACTGAGGGAAGTGCCGCGTTGGGAGACAACTGTTTGAAGATCCTGATGCGTGCCAAAACACCCGGTTCATGAGTTTAGCGCTACGAGTCAACCTGACTGTTGCGTCCTGGCGATCCTGAACCTTGCCAGAACACAATTCTTGGGACGTCAACACCGCGAGTCAACGTAACTGTTGCGCCCTGACAATGCTCAATCACTCCAGAAGACCTATTCGGGTACGTCGACCATGAGAACCGGTGAAATCTCCGCATTGAAACAGATCCTAGCGAAGGATCCAACCATATGCAGTTGTGACTATCGCCGTTTGGACAAAAAGACGCCTTCGGTGGAGCTCACTTCGGGGCCACGAAATGCGTGAAGGGAGCGCCGAAATGAGGCGGGGCCGCCATGCGGGCGCTGCCGCTGGGGCCGCCCGCAGGGGGCGCGGAGGTCAGACGAAACGGGTTACATGCTGATGTAACACGTTGCGGCTGACAGGCACCCGGAGAAGTGGTAGAAGCCATGCGGGCGCGGCATGCGAACCCGCAGCCATTGGGGCCTTCGGTGGAGCTCCCTGTTGGGCCACGAAACGTGTGAAGAGAGTGTCAAAGTGAGGGGGGTGGCGGCATGCGAACGCAGCCACTGGAACTTTCGGTGGAGCTCTCCAACGGGCCACGAAACGTGTGAGGGGTGTGCCAAAGTGGGGGCGGGTGGCGACATGCGAACGCAGCCAATGGGGCCTTCGGTGGAGCTCCCTGTGGGGCCACGAATCGTGTGAGGGGCGTGCCAAAGTGAGGGGGGGTGACGGGAGCAGGGAGGAGCGGGAGGAGAAGGCGGAGGAGAGGAGAGGAGAGGGGGGACTCCCCCTCTGATTCCCCCCTCTCTAACCCACCAGGCGGGAGGGGCCCAGGCCCCCCTAACAGAAGGTTTTTGTCGGGACAGTTCCTCGAGAGAGCTGAAGGGCTCCAGAGCAGAAGCCGGCGGCTGGGCTAGGCCAGCTTCTCTTCTACGGCTTCCTGTCAGGCATCCCCGCAGGAACTTGCCGGGCGCTCCAGCCTGTCCCGCCAGCGTTTTCCCGCCCGTTCCCCAAACGTGGGCCGCAGCTCCCAGGCAGCGCCCGCTGAGCTCGCACGAAGCTCTTGGGCAGCTTCAAGGCAGCGCCTCCTGGACTCGTGGGCAGCGCCTGCGCAGCTCCTGGGGGGGGGGGGAGGGGGGGGAGGGGGGGGGCGCTTCCCGAGGACCCGCGCGCAGCTCCCAGGCAGCTCGGCGGCAGCGCTTCCCGAGGTCGCGCGCAGCTCTGGAGTGGCGCCAGCGAGCCCGCGCGCCGCCCACGCGCCGTCCGAGCGGCGCCCGCGTGCCCGCGCGCCACGCGCCGACTCGTCGTTGTAACCGTCGCCCTGGGCCGTCGTCGCCGTCGCCGTCGCCGTCGCCGTCGCCGTCGCCGTCGCCGTCGCCGTCGTTGTCGTTGTCGTTGTCGTCGTCGTCGTCGTCGTCGTCGTCGTCGTCGTCGTCGTCGTCGTCGTCGTCGTCGTCGTCGTCGTCGTCGTCGTCGTCCTCGTCCTCGTCCTCGTCCTCGTCCTCGTCGTCGTCGTCGTCGTCGTCGTCGTCGTCGTGAGTCCTCGTCGTCCGCCAATGCACCCGGGCCGCCCTGCTTCCCAGGCGATGGGCAGCAGGAGTGCGTCCTTTCTCGCCCGAGTGGGCCTTTAGCCGAGCCCCTGGATCGTCAAAGAATTGCTCGGGTAAACAGCTGGTCCCGGGGGAAGTGGTCCAGACGCCTCGGGATACTCAGAGGAGAAAAGGGGTACCCATACCACTATCCTTGTCTCGTCTTCGCCTTTTTGCCCCCCCCTGGGAGGCCCTCGTCGCCACCGCTGGATTCGTTTCGAAATTCTGGTCAGAGCGCACCCCAGGAGAGGTCCGGGGAGTATCGGTTTTGGCACCTTTTGGTTTCCCCATTGACGCGTTGCCAGACGCTTGCGACGTCGGCAGCTTAGTGGGGGATCAGGATCGAGGATGGAGGCTTCTGGGTGCTTTCGGGAGGGCTTCTTGCGGCAGGGCCTCGCGACTTAGCCGCGACGCCGGGACCCGGCCTGCTGGAACAAAAACACGGATCTCCATATCAAACGCATCGCTCCATCAAAGCCCTCGCCTTTCGAGGAATCGAGAGGTGGACTCCGGCGGAGGGCGGCAGCAGGCGATCGGAAGCCGGCGGAAGCGAAGCCAGGGTGCGACCGCCAACAGAAGGCCGGCGAACGCAGCAGAGTGGCCCTCAAGAGCAAGGGATGGCGACACTTGGGGGCTCAGGGCCTCTGGGGTGGCAGCACTTGGGGATGCAGGCTTTCCTGTCCCCTCCTCCGCCTCCTCCACACCCGCCTCATCCTCCTGCGCCTTCTCTTCCCACTCACCCCTCGTTCCTCTCCCTCCTCTCACCCCCCACGGGAGGCTTTGTCGGGCAGGGTCGCCGAGCCCCCCCCCTAGGCACGTGCCGATCTGGAGGCGTTGGGGCACGAGGCAGACGCCTCGTGCGGCATTGGGCCAAGCCCCCTGCAGGTGGCCGCCGCTCGGCTCAGAGCGGCCGCCTCTGGTCCCCAGGGGCGCTCAGAGGCCCGGGGCTCCGCGACCCCGCCGGGCACGAGGAGAGCGGCACTGCCCCACGGCGCCCCGCCTCCAGGCAGAGTCGGCGCGCCCCGCCCCCAGATCCGGGGGGCACTGGCGCCGCGGACCTCCGCAGGCGGTGACTTCTCCATGACCACCGCCTGGGGGATCGATCTCCGCGGACCTCCGCAGGCGGTGGATCCGGATGTCACTTCGGCCCCCCGGGGGCCAACAGATATCCATATCCACCGCCCGCTGGGGCACCAGGACAAGTCGGTTCCTGGGCGGTGGATATGGATAAGTCCCCGCCTCGCAGTTTCGGAGAGCACGGTCAACCCGCACAGCAAGGATGGGAAACCTTCCCAAGGGTACCCTTGTACTCCTTGCCTCCTCGGTCCATCCTTGGCCACTCCCGTTGGCCGCGCCCCGCACGAAAAGCTTCGATATGGGCGCCCCAGGCGTTTGCATCCTTATCGCGCACCCTTATGATACGGGCCGACTGTACCTTCCCCGATCCGTGGATCGGCCACAGGCCGTGGAGGCCCTGCTGCAGGCCAAGGCCGACCCCAACGCGGAGGAGCGCCGGGGCGGCTCTCGCGGCGGCCCGCCGACGCGCGCTGCGGTCCTTTGTGGCTGCCGCGCGCGCGCGCTACTCCTTCGGCGATGGAGGTCAGAGCCCCGAGTCGTCGGGGCGGGGAGCAGCCAGGGGTAGCTACAGTTTCGCGCCTCAGGGGCACACGCCGTTGTTACCCCCGACCGCAGTTATACTCCGGACGGTTCGGACGTGGGGGGCAGTCAGAGGTAGCTACTACAGATGCGCGCCTCGCCCAAAACAGAGTTACCCCAGATCGCAGTCCATCCCAGATAATTCGGGCGTCCAAGGCGGGCCCAGACCTTTCATTTCTCCTTCCTTCCTCCTCCCCGATCCCGGACGGCGGCAAGCGTAAGCGGCTCGACTCCAGGTCAATAGCGCCATCCGCCAGATGCAGCCTGATCGGTGCCTATCACGCCCAGCGCGAAGCCGTCGTCGAGCAGAGAACCTCCCCGATCACCCCGTTGGAGCGAGCGGGGGACCCTCGGGCCCGTCTCCCCGCGCCCCCTGGTTGTTTGTTTTGTCCTCCAGGGCGCGGGCCTGGGGGTCTCCTGGTGCTTCTCCAGGAGGAGGCTTCAAGGCCTCGGCTGGGGTGGGGTTGGACTGGCTCCCACGCCTCAGCAGTCTGGGCCCGCAGCGATCCTTCTCCTCCTCCCCGCGCGTCCCCGCGGGAGAGGCCGCGCCCGGGAGCGGCAGCCTGGCCAGGGAGTGGAGCGGAGTGGAGTGGGGCCCGCTGCGGACGCAGGCCCGCGTTCTGTCGAACCGTTGGAAAGAGAGCTCGGTTGCCCAGCCTTCTTCTTGGCTTGGCTGAGGGCTTTCGGGTCTAAGCCAGCCTCGCTCCGATCGAGGTATTCTTGCTTGGTCCTGATCCTGATGTTGGTGCACATGCGGCTTAAGAGGCGATCTCGCATCTAGGCCACCGCACCACACTTACTACGTGGCCAGGTGCAGAGGATAAGCACACTGAAGCTATGGGTGGAGTGGGCCCAGTTCCCGATTGTTTGGATGCGACCTCCTCCCATCGGAGACATTCGGACCCCGTCCTACTTTACAAAGCTGAGGGCACGGGGAAGACCACCAGGCTCTCATCTTGGCATTGGTGCCCGATCCGTATCACCTGAGACACCGCGGCTCATCTTTATTTGTGAAAAACCTACAGAGAGAGAGAGAGAGAGAGAAACACGGAGACAGCAGCAGCAGCAGCAGCAGCAGCAGCAGCAGCAGCAGCAGCAGGAGGCAGCGGAGGCGCTGAAGCAGCGGCAGTAAGAAGCACCTTCTAGCCGCCACACTGTCGATCGCAGCCCGTAGGAGCTGGTGGCAGACCAGAAACGCCCCCCCTTTGCGCAGACGAGCCCGGCATCGATCCGCCTCCGGAACTCTCGCCTCCTCCGCTGCGCATGCCGCGACCTCGTCCACTTCCGCGCTGCCCGCGGCGAGGCCTCGCACTCCACGGCCCTCGATGACCCACGGGCCAGGATGCCTCATGGCCGCGGTGTCTCCTGATGCTGGGCCATGGGGGGTCGCCCCTCCCAGGGTCCCCGAGGGAGTCTGGGGTTGCCCCATGCGGTCGAGCATCTGGTTCAGAAACCTCCCGGCGCAAAGCCGGGCCAGCGTTCCTTGGCCAGCTTGCCCGGAGGGCTGGCCCAACTTCTTCAGCGCGCTCGCCCCTCCAGCGTGAGCAACAGAGGTTGGCCCAGGCCGCCCTCAAGATGCGCCCGGGAAGTTGCCCCAGACTCCCTACATGATAAGTGTCTTGATTCCACTTATGGCTGCACTCCAGAATGCAACGCAGGCCAAAGGGGGCCTTTGCGCAGAGCCGACTGCCGAGCCGCCTCTCCTGGCTTGCACGCGGCCTCCCCCCGCAGCGTCTGTGGACAGTTTTGGTCTGTGGACGGTGTTGGTGCTTTGGGGGCCTCCTGCGGCGCCCCCGTCGCCACGGCTGGATCCACCTCGAAGGTCTGGTCGATGTGCTCCCTGGGACTCGCAGGTCTGGGGGGGGGGCGATGTTGGACGCCCGCCCTCGGACTTCCAGCGTCTTTGAGGACATCTGGACAGAGGCTTCGCGCAGCGTTCGGTCCGTGAAGTTCGTTGCCGGGCCCAGGGGCTCGTGAGAACAGCGGCCCCGGGTTGAGAAACACCGGCGGGCCCCCGAGGCCCGCACCCTGACAAGATCAGGACCTCGCAGTGCTGAGCTCTCTGGTGTCCCTCCCCCCTTCTGGATCTCATCCTTCCCTCCCCTGCTGCGGAAATAAGAGCCCCCTCCACCCCCACCTGCCCCCTGCCAATGGGCTGCGCCAGAGAGTCTCGAAACTGAGAGGACGTGTTGGGCAAAAGCGAAACAAAACCTAGAACAGTGGTTTTTATTCTAGACGCTTCACGTAACCCCACCAGCCCATCCAGAAACGATGCCCATGCGGGCGATGGGCCGACTACGTTCAGGAGCACGGCGACGGGATCCCCGGCGAGAAGACCGACGAGGAGTCCTGACCCCCCAGCAGGCTCAGCCCCTTCCTGGTCAGCATCTACGGGCAAACGATCCCGGCGAAATGCCACCCTGACGACATCCCCTGGGACGGCCAGAGGGCAGCGGCCGCCCGGGTCGTCTCCCACCTCTCACGGAACGACGGGTACGCGAACAAGTGGCGGACGTATATTGCTAGACTGGGGGAGCAGCGAGGCTTCAGCCCCTTTCGCCATGCGTCCAGTACCCCACTGGGATACTTCGCAGACATGGACCCCTCGGCCCTAGCCGACGGCACCATCAATTCCCTGGCACAGCAGGACCCTGTCCAGTCCGCCACCAGCGCAGCAGCACCGGTGGACTCCCCCGCAGCCTACTGGCTGGACAGGCGCAGCGAAGCGGCAGAAGTCGCCCCCCAAGTGAGACACGCCTGGGACAGGCTGCACAACATGATGACACCTCCAGGCCCCTCCGCGAGGCACCCGGCAACGAGGGGCCAAGATCGGACTTCAGACCCACGCAGCAGCAGTCGAGCAGGACAACGCCGGGCAGGCCTGCAAGACAGAGACGGAGCCACGGGAGCCCAGGAGCCCAGAGTCACCAGACTGGAACGAAGACTCAGGGACCGCGGCCGCAGCGGCGATGGAGAGAAGCTCGAGCGGGAGCCCCGAGCCTGCGGCCGCGGCGGCCAATGACGACGACCCCCTCGGCCTATTTCCAGTGGCACCCTCCATCCGCTCCCCATGGACGCCCTACGCGCAGACCGTCGACAAGGACGCAGCCAGAGAGCTCCAGAGGGCCACGGACGACGCCGCGCCGACCAGCGCACCGTCCTGGGACCGAGTCGGGGCCAGGGACTCCAGCGACCCCAACCCATCTCCCTGGCAGCAAGGACGCAACCGCCTAGACTCCGAAGACATTGGGGACGGGAAAGGGAGCGCCGCGAAGTCGCCCAGGTGGAACCCAGTGCGACTGGAACCGTGCAGGGAACCCAGGAAGGGCACCAGCGCCGACCGCCGGGCGTTCGGAGGCCTCCAAGACCCCCTGGGTGGCGGTCCCATGTACAAATGTTCCCTGGCAGTCGCGAATCTAGACAAATTGAAGACATCCAGGTCAAGATTGCGCGCTTGAAAAAGACGCTAGGAAGCGCCTTCAACGCTATATGGCACGAGTGGTCCAAACGCGCGGCACTGGACAATGACGCCAAGGGAGGCTACCAGAACAACCCCCTACTCAACACACCCGAGACATGCTCGGACTTCATGGGCGCCTGGAGGCGAGCTGGCTACGACGCGTACCGGATGGACCATGAGCAGGTGCTCGGAGTAGACTGGGACGCCATCCGCCGCAAGCACATGAAGTTATCCGAGCGTTTCGGTGCACTTGCGCAGGCCTCCTGGGCATCGGGCAGTCGGGGCACGCCGGCCCCTTGGTCAGCAGAGACCCGTAGGGACGGGCGGTCCGTGGCACAGGCCCTCTGGGCAGTCAGCAGTCCCTCGGGCACCTCCGACCAATGGCATGGCTGGCAGGGCTGGTCCTCATGGGGCCAACGCAACACCCCGTGGACAGACACCGAATGGAAAGGGGGAGGCAAGCGATTCCCCCAACGCGACGACCACCACGACTCCGAAAAGCGAGGCCGCTGGTGGGCATAAAGCGACACCGCAGCCTACGTGCGCGGGTCAGCCGCCATCGAGCAACAGGCTGCGGCGGGAAGAGTTACCTGCAAGACTGCAGGCCCCAGGACACCTCGCCGCTACAGGTACTGGCGTCGGGTTCACCCCACCACCACCCGCAGTTCACGCTCATCTCACCCCCCCCTTGCGCACCTGACTCATGACTGTAGAGGCCTCGGCCACCCTGGAAGCAGCTGCTTTGAGATGGCAGACGACCCCCGCCGCGCCCCTGACTGCTGCGTCCCTGACTGCTGCTCAGGAGAGGAGCCGGCGTAGCCGCCCCTCCCTCCCGACAGGAAACAGGCACGGGTAGAGTCCAGCGCTGGCCCTAAGTTTGTCGCGCCGCTGGCGCCTGGCGGGAACCAGTCTGCCCCTGGCGGCAGGGCGGCCGCGTAGCAAGAGAAGGACAGCTCCGCGGCGTTTCATTCGTGCCCTCTGGCGATGGAGAGGCGCGACAGCCTTCGGGAGGCGCCCCCCCGCTCGCTGCAGCAGATGCGGCCCCCCTGGACGTTTATCATCACTGAGCAGCCGTTAGCTGCATCCCTGGTAACCTCGGCGCGCTTGCAGGCACTGCGATGCCGGCACTGCAGGCAGGCCGCCGACACCGGGAACAGCAGGTCGACAGTAGGCAGCGCATCCCCGGGGGAAGCTCTGCCCGCCCATCGCCCTTGCTGGACGGGCGCTCAAGACATTTGCCGAACCCTGAGCAGCCGTTAGCTGCATCCCTGGATCTTGGGCTCGGGCTTCGGCCCTCTCCCTGTCTCTCTCCCGACGTTGGGTGCCCCTTGTGGGCCCCTCCGCGTGGATGGCTGGCGATGTCTGTCCACGCCGCCCCCACCAACGGAGGTCCCACACGGGCTGGGCGGCCTGTCAGCACTTCGTGTCCCCGCATCACAACGTGGGAGATCGCCCCCTGGCGCGGCTGCCCCCTGGTGTTTTCTCTCCAGCCGCGCTGGCGACGTTCATCCCCGCCAGCCTGGCTTCCTGCCGCGCTCTGCGCGGCTCTCTACGACGCAATGTCATGCGTGGCCTTGGGCCGGGCCCGCAGGACTCTCCTCAGGGCCGGCTCGTTGCCCGTGCTCGGGACTGGTGGGCCCCTGGAGTTTGGCGGTCGCCTCGGAGTGGTTCAGCCTTCCGTCGCAAGCAGAGTTCCATCCTGGCTCCGTCCCAGCCGATCAGGCAAGTCTACGCCGTCGTCACGGTTCTTGCTCAGCTTACTTGGCTGGTCTACGCCGTCGGCACGGTCTTGGCCCTTGGCGCCCCCCTGGCGACTCGGCCATCGTTTACTTCGCCTTTCCCGCCACCCTGTTTGAGAGGGGCGCAAGTGCGGGACACTCACCTGCTTCCGCGCCTCCATCCGTGTGGTCTGACGCCGCAGCGCGTAACACCGAATTCCCTTGCATTTTGCTCTGGGCTGCACGATGCTCGAGCTCCTCTGGGTGCCCATCAGCCAGCCAGCCCTCGCCCTGCTGCCCCAGCGGCCGCCTTGTGAGCTGGCCTGGCCGGTCTGAGTTGCACCGTGCAGCTAATTAGGCTTGCCCGTAGGCCCGGACGACTTTTCTTGCCGCCTGCGCTCTTCGCTCGCGGCCGCGACCGAAAAAAAAGAACCCCACCAGCCCATCCAGAAACGATGCCCAGACGAGTTGCCCTAATCAGGTCGTGGTGGAGCACGCAGTGGAATAACCGGGGACGCTGGAGCAGGGTTGGGTCAGAGGGGTAGAATGGAGGAGGAACCGGAGGAGCAAGAGGCGGAGGAATAGGGAGAGGGGGAGGGAGAGGAAAGAGGACACGGAGGAATAGGTGGATGAGGAAGAGGAGGAGACGGAGGAGGAGGGCGAGCAGAAACGCCAGAAGCGTCTTGGATGCCGTTCGGTGTCTCTTCGGATTTATTCCGAGAGCTTCTTGGAGGCCTCTCAGGGGTCGTCTTGGAGGTCTTGGGGGGTCTTGGGTGCCTCGGGGGGGCCTCTGAGAGCGTCTTGGGGGTCGCTTGGGAGACCCCCCTTCAGGAGGCCAAACTGTGGCCAACACCTTAAGAATGATTTTGGCTTCCATTCCGAGACCATTTAGGACGCTCTAAGTGTTTGCGACGCCCCCTGTCCAGACCCAGGGGGAGGGGGGAGGGGGGGAGGGGTACCCCCCCGAATGGAAGAGGGAAGATGGACAAGGAAACGTTCGAAACCACTCACGCACGGACTGTTCGTGGAATCAAAAGACACCCCCATCCCCCACCCCACCCATTGGCGACAAACCCGGGCCAATGTTGACCCTCTTCCACTATCCTTTGCGAAAGACCATGCAAAGAACACGTTGCACCAAATTCTGGATCACGCGCGGACGCCCCGCGATCACTTTGGAAGTGATTTTGGCAGGGACGGTGGGGGTGTTGGCATCTTGCTTGCTGCGCGCACTGCCCACACACGCCACCATCCATGTGCATAAAATCAGTACGAAGTGCACTTTGCACAAAAATCTGGATCATGCGCGGACGCCCGGCGATCATGTCGCATTGGTGTTTGAAAGGAAGACGGGCGGCATATTGCTTGCTGTGCGCAATGCCAGCACACCCCAGCAATCCTTATGAAAAACAATACAAAGAGCACGTTGCATCAAATTCTGGATCATGCGCGGACGCCCCACGATCACTTTGTATTTGTTTTTGACGTAGACGTCGGGGGGGCGTCATATTGCCTGCTGTGTGCAGGTCCACTATCCCTATCATAAAATAATGCAGAGTGAACGCGGGCGCACACCCGACACATAATACAGAATGCTCGCAAATCCTCCGTCACTTCGCATTGGTTTTTGACGGGGATGGTGGGGGGCGACATCTTGCACAATGTGGCGCACCTGGTGCGCGTGGCGCACCTGTTATGCGCGGCGCACCTTGTGGGCTTCGCGCACTTGGTTGGCGTCTGCATTGGTTCCCAAGCGGCCCCTGCATATGCTGAGACTCGGGTGCTAGTTTGTTGTGGAAGGGCGGCCGGGAGTGAGCGAGACAGCTTGCGGCGTTTTCGCTTGGCCCTTAGATGCTTCAAAGCGCCACCATTGGGGCCGACGATCGTGAAAACTTCACTCGTCCTTTGAACCTCGGACCTCAGACCTCTACCCCTCGATCAGGCCGCGAGTGCGCGGGTGCCCCGGATCAGTCGGGGCTTGGACGGGAATAAATGAATGGTGCCAGAGCGTTCCGGAACGATCCCAGAGCGATCCGCAGCGCTCTGGAACCCCGTGCTGCTTTTGCTCTCCCGGGTCGTCCACCTTGTAGCCTCCTGGCGCGTGGGGCTTGACCGAACAATGTTTGTTGGGGATCACCTGCCCACGCAACCAGCGACGCCGCGGGAGTCATACATAGCCTTACAGCGCCCAGCTGCAGTCACGTCGGCGCCACTATTCCTGCCCATGCATTTCTGTCACCTGAGTCATGTGTTTTGTCTTCTCGACACATCCTCCAGAACCGCGGGATCCCGATGGATCCAGCCTGCCCCCTTTTGCCCTGGCCCTGGCCCTGGTCCAGCCAGCAGAGGACTCCTGGGGCCGGGTGCCCCTGGTCGTCGCGGCGGTGTGTGCCAAGCAGCCCACGGCCGACGTGGCCGTGCTCCTGCTCGACGCCTCCGCCCGCCAAGGCCCGCCTTTTTTCACGGAGACGCCGCCGGGGCCGCCGCCGCCGCCGTCCCCCCCTGAGATCCTGGCGGCTCGCTTCCTCGCGAGCCGGGCGTCTTCGCTCCCCTTCGGGCCCCGGGGCCCTCCACGGATCGATGCGGCCCGCCAAACGGCGCAGAAAAACGTCGTCAAGAGGGGTCTGGTCGCGATGTTCTGCAATGCTGCATTTTTTTTTGGGGGGGGGGGGGGGGGCGACGTTCGGGGGTGGACAGAGCCCCCACCCCGACACGTCGATCAGTGGATTGTCCGTGTTCGGTTCTCGAGAGGGCGCCGCGGCCGTCACTTTCCAGGCTTGCGCCCGCCAGGTGTGGGCCCGAGGTCGCTTTCACGAAACCACGTTTTGCTAAAGGGGGTTCTGTCCATCCCCGAGACGTCGGATCTCTGCGGCCTCCCGCTCCGGGCAGGCCTCCCGCAGCACCATGCCGACAGGACCTCCAAGGGCTCCAGGGCTTCCACGAGCGGACGCGGGGGGCCCCGGCCCCCTCCCCCTCCTCCTCCGCCCCCCCCTCCTCCTCCTCCTCCTCCTCCTCCTCCTCCTCCTCCTCCTCCTCCTCCTCCTCCTCCTCCTCCTCCTCCTCCTCCTCCTCCTCCTCCTCCTCCTCCTCCTCCTCCTCCTCCTCCTCCTCGCCTCTCGGGGCCCAGACCCCCTCGCGTCGTGAGCGGAGCACGGCGGGGCCCCTGCTGCTCTCGGCCCCATATGTGGGCCCTCGCCGGGCCGCGGGGGGCCGCCCACGCAGGGGGCTCGGGATGCAGCAAGTGGGCCGGGGGGGAGGGGTGCTCCAGGGGCCGCGGCGACGGGCGGGGGATTGCCAACTGTGCGTTCGTGGGGCGTGTCTGGCAGTCGGAGGGCGTAGAGTTGCACGGGCACGTTCGCGAGGTTCACGGTGACGTTGCGCTGCCCATCGCCAAATTGATTCTTCCGGAAGACGAGGGGGAGGATCTCCGTATCGAGGCAACTGATCGGAGGAGGGAAAGGTACCCACACCCCTATCCTTCGCCCGTTTTCCCTTCTTTGGGGGCCTCCAGGGAGGCCCTCGTCGCCACCGTTGGATTCGCCTCGAAATTCTGGTCACAACGCATCCCAGGAGAGGTCCGGGGAGTAGCGGTATCGGTACATTTCGGCTTCCCCAACAGAGAGGACCGCGGCGGCTGCTGAGGGGATAGGGGGCTTAGAAGCGGATGCTAAGGTGGCTAGACCTGGCCAAGCCTGCCTTATCAGTGGGTTAAAGGTGCCCTAAGTGGTTTAGGAGGTTGACGATCCGGGTTAAGTTGGGCTCCGCCCACTTTTCGGAATGATCGAACCCTCTAAACCATTTCGCGCGCGTGTAACTTGCTCATAACCTAGATTAGGCCAGCTATAGCAACCCTTAGCATCCGCTTCTTACCCTAGCACCTCAGCAGCCGCCGCGGTCATCTCAGAAGAGAGCATCGCACGTCTGGGGCTGCTGCCGCCGCCGCTGCCGCTGTCACCGGCGTCTCTCGGAAGCGCCGCGGCCGCGCCACGGCCGCGGTTGGCCGAGAGCGAGCCGTCGCCCGGAGAGGGACCGCTGGCGCGTCCCTGCCTCCCCAGCGTGCCCCCCAAGCCGCGCACCCCTGACCCCCGACGTCGGGAGAGTTTTTCCCGGCGTCGACCCCCAGGGTCTCTTCCTCAGCACCGGTCTTTCATCCCGGCAGTCGCGTCTTGCCGGTCCCGGGGCCCAGTGAGGCCCCCCCCCCAGAGGCCGAACATACAAGCAGTGGCGAAGCGTCCTGGCTCGCCTATAGGCCTACCAAACAATGTTTTGAGAACCTTTTGTGGTTCCCACGAAATGTTCTTAGAACATGTCTGGCGTTTTTTGGTTTATGTTCTAGGAACATCGGTTTTGTTCTTAGAACATGTTGGGGTTCTCAGAACATTTCGTGGTAGGACTATAGGAATGCCGGGACGATCCCTGCTCAAAAAAATATGGAAAAAAAAACGCCCGCCTTGATTTCTTCATGCCTCGAGGGGGTCTGGGACCAAAGGCCGCTCCTGCCTGCAGGGCCGCTCCTGCGCGCATACCCCGGCGTCGGACGCCCGGGGGCCTTCCCCAGGGCGCCGCGGCCGCGGCGGGCCCTGCCATAGGGGAGGTGGCTGGCCAGGGGAGGCCCGGGCGATGGCGGCGCGGCCACGGCGGCGGCGACGAGGAGGACCCCGACGGGCTCGCGTGGCGGGAGGTCGTTGGCCGTTCGCGGCCCGCCGGGCCCTGGGGCCGTGAGGACTGAACCCGGGAGGAAGACCGGCCCCGGGTCAAGGGTCGGGACTTCTGGGGGCCGCGTATTGAAAAACAATCCGGGGGAGGGTCCCCCAGAAATGTAGCCCCCCCCCCCGTCGCAGGGGATGGACCCTGCGTCGAGATCCTTCTCAGAACGCGCTCCAGGAGAGGCGCCGGGATCGTCCTCGTCCAAGTACTCGTCGCTGGCCGTCATCGCTGTCTCGCGCTTGCAGCGGCTCCCCCGCATAGAGCGGAGATTGGGGGAGGAGCAGCGGGGATAAGGGAGAGGAGGAGGAGGAGGAGGAGGAGGAGGAGGAGGAGGAGGAGGAGGAGGAGGAGGAGGAGGAGGAGGAGGAGGAATAGGAAGAGGAGGAGGAGGAGGAGGAGGAGGAGGAGGAGGAACTTTAAGGGTAGCTCTTTGGGAGATGTTATAGTATCGGGAGCATAGCTCGCGCGCCGTTGCCTTTGGCTCAAGGCACGCGCGCCCTATTTGCCCGGACACTTACCTTAGTGTTCGCTATGTGTTGGAAAGACCGATACATCGATCTTATCCTATCATATCCGCCCACTCCCCATACTGAACCACCACAGCAGAGGAATGGACGCTATTTGCCATCCGCTTCCCATGGAATCGGATGATATTTGAGTTACCAGGCTCACTTTCGACTTGGTAGCGGAGCTGGCCGCACTCTCGTGTGGTCAGCTCTTGCTCTTCTTAGCCTCATACTCTTCGGCACGATCTTCGTGACCACCTACCACCCTGCGCTACCACTCCCAGTACGTTTACGAGGATCTATCCAAGAGCAAGAAGCGACACGAGAGGTACGACGTCTAGACAACGACATTGGTACCATATACGCTTCATCATTGCGCTACCACCAACCGCTCGGCAACGAGCCAAAAGCGCAATACCTGAAGCACGGGCGGAGAGATCCGCCAGATAGAGCGCCTCGAAGACTCGACAAGGCGCTACCCCAGCGCGGCAACGCGCCGAATAACCGCCCTTATCTACACAGCCTTGGGCTGGTTATCTTCGCTATCATATGGTTCGCGCTGGGGGCAGCAATCGGACACATGCGTCGTGGAGACAACAGCACCGATGGGCAAACACATGGCCCATATTGGGACCCTCAAGGCAACGTACCTTTCCGTGAGTACGTTTATGAGGTCAACGCATGGCTCAACGTCACAAGCGGACGTATGACGCCACAGGCCCAAGCGGCCGCAATACAACGCGGCCTAGGTGGCCTAGCGAGGACACTCGCCATGAGGGTACCGCCTGACATTATAAATTATGGTGCTGACATCGATGGGGTCCACACCGACCCTGTTACCTACATCATGTTCCTCCTAAGCATGAAGTTCGAACGCCTGGAAGATGAGCGCCAGCTCACTTCCGGCACACAACCCATCGACTTTCACGTGCCTCACGGGGAGCGAATCGACGTCACCCTTACCCGACTCGAAATGGCCCGACTTGAGGCACAGTCGGTGGGATTTGACCTTCCCAACTTCCAACTACTAACCACGATCCTGTTCCGCGCCTTAGGCGTCGGCAACCAGCGAGCCATGCAACTCTTACAGCCACTTAATCACCAAATGCCCCGAACACAACAACAGTATGATGAGTTGCTGGAGAGGATGCGTTCGATAGGCCACCTATCCGAACGGTCTCCTGGTAATATAGGATCTGTGTTTGGAAGGGGAAGGGGATCTGGTAGTGGAAATTTCTACACTACCCTGACTACTGAAGCCCAGCCTGGGAACGGGCCCTCAAGCATATGGGCTGATGATCCTGGAGAATCCATTGCTTTACTAGCAGGAGATCGATCACAACCAAGCTGGGCAACCAGCCCTCCTTCCAGAGAGCCACAACCACACCGCTCCTTATGGGGTGAATCAAACCCCCTAACCGACGGTGTATCCACCTACTTGGGAGACGAGGATTTCGACTCCGGCACCGACACAGATACTGTATCATCAGATTGTGTTGAAGCTTTAGATTGGTCAGATATTATGAATATGGATAATGACAATCAGCGCGCTGAACATCTGTTCTGGTTATTACAACAGGCCAAACGAAGGTGGAGGAGGTTCACACGAAAACCAGTGCGTCGTGTTAGAAGGAGGATTCGCAGGAGTTTTAAGGGAAAAGGTAAAGGTAAGCGTGGTCGTCGGAGGTTGAACGGACGAGGCATCGCGGCATTTCTCCAGAGGCTCTCAGATGAACAATATGATGAGATCTTCTTTGGGGGAAAGGGCCGCGGCAAGGGCCGTAGAGAGACCTCGCGAAAAGGCAAGGGTAGGCGGGGAAACCCGCGAGGTAGAGACGGCCAGGTTCTTAAATGCCATGAGTGTGACAGTACCGACCATCTTGTGCGAGATTGTCCAGCGAAGGGAAATGGAAAGGGCAGGTCGACCGAAGTCCATTTTGGCTCAAGTGAACCATTCATTGAGTATCTGAGCCTCCAGGATTTTGAAGCCATGGAGCAGATATTTTACACTTGGGTCAGTTGCACGGACAACGTCGACGAGCTCGAGGCGTATGGTCATGGATTGTACGCGTACTACCTCGAGTACGTCCGCCGGTTCGTTATGGGCAATAACGAGCTCACTCCCGTGGATCATGGTACGCTGGGAAACCAGCCTCTTTCTTCGACTGGATGTTCGGGAACCCAGGTAACATCATGGCCTACGAAAGCAGTGACGAGGACATCACTGTAGAGGCC